GGGGCTTTTCCAAAAAATGATGGTCTCCCCAAGATGATTCAAGTTTTGTTCATAAAGACCAATTTAGCAGCAGTCCGTGATGTTAAGTTTCACCTATGCTTTTATTTTAAAATGCCGACAGCTAGGGCCTGACAGGAAATGACACGGTGTTACCAGGGGTAACATTTCTTCTTTCACATCAGTGGAATGTCAGCCTCACTGAGCTGTAGCTCTTCCAATTTGATGATGTGGTCCAGGGTGTAAACAGTATGAATCTGGAATGCAGTGGTGAACTGCATTCCAGATTCATACTGTTTACATCATTAGAAGCCAGAGTTCTAATGAAAATTAAAAAGAGAGATCATATCTCCCCCATCCTGGCTTCTCTTCATTGGCTTCCTGTTAAATCAAGAATAGAATTTAAAATCCTCCTTCTCACATATAAAGCCTTAAATGGCTAAGCTCCATCTGATATCAGAGATCTGATTGTTCCTTATGTTCCTAACAGAGCACTTCGCTCTGAACCTGCAGGTTTACTAGTGGTTCCTAGAATTTCTAAAAGTAGAATGGGAGGCAGATCTTTTAGTTATCAGGCTCCTCTCCTGTGGAACCAACTACCAGTTTTAGTCCGTGAGGCAGACACCCTGTCTACTTTTAAGGCTAGGCTTAAAACTTTCCTTTTTGATAAAGCTTATAGGTTATCCTGAGCTATCTCTATAGTTATGCTGCTATAGGCTTAGACTTTTGGAGGACATAGGGACCCCCATTTCATCATTCTGCTTCATTCTCTCTCTGTTCTCCTATTCTGCAGAATCTGTTAGTTCAATCTCTAACCTTCTGCTCTCTCTGCTTTTCCTCAGAGTAGCTTTGCCTCGTCTGTTCCTGTTTGGCTGTGACGTCATCCTGGAAAGAAACATCAGCTGTGCTGCTTCTATCAACACCCTTGTTTATAGATGTTGGAGATCGGCCTGTTTTCCAGTGTGGTCCTGTTTCTCTGACCTTGACTGAGTGGATGTGCTCTCTTCGTCCTCTGGCATGGGAGCTGCCTTGGAGCTCGTCTGCCTGGCTGCGTGTTTCCTGGACGGGGCCGCCTTTTACAGCTGCTTTTTGTATCTCTGCTTCTGTCTCCTTGAACCCCAGTCGGCCTCGGCAGATGGCCGCTCACACTGAGCCTGGTTCTGCTGGAGGTTTCTTCCTGTTAAAAGGGAGTTTTTCCTCTCCACTGTCGCTACAAGCATGCTTAGTGTGGGGGATTGTATTTGAGTCAATGAGTCAATGCAATCAACTGGTTTTCCTTAGATAGAAAACTTTGTATCAATTTGACTGTATGATCTGGTTGAACTGTAAAGTGCCTTGAGATGACATGTGTTGTGAATTTGGCGCTATATAAATAAACTGAATTGAAAATTGAATTGAACTACCTGTGGGGTTTGCAGGAATCACTGCGTCTGGTGTGAACTCACCATAATGTAGGTTGGTTACATTTTCGGGATCTTGCCTGTTTCTTGATTTTTTGGTGTGATTTAGTTCTTCATCCTTGCAGGATAATGGCTCATACCATTCATACACAAGTTTAGGAACTCAAGGTTAGTCCACTGAAGTTATGTTTTTGTTTACTCTGATTAGCTGGCCTTACTTACCTCAAAATTGATTTGATGAAATGATATTAAAGCCACCACACCTGGAAGGCAACCAGATAAAGCAGTTTCTGTATATCATAAAGCCTTATGCTCCAGCTTAGCTTTTAGTTGTTAAACAAATAAATATTCTTCAAAAGAAAAAAAGTTTCATTAAACTAAGCATAAAATAACTCTCAACACTTTCTTTCCTACCTTCTGCTTTTACATAAGTGGCAGGATGTGTTCCCTATAGAACATTTGGGAAGGTGGGAGCACTGGTATTTTTATTTTTTTTTTTGTATGTTTTTTTTTTGGCAGCTCCAAGTTCACCTCGGAGACGGACATAAGCTGTAATTATTATTCCTCCAAGGCTCATATTAGAGGACATATGTTATCTGTGATAAAGAATAAAGACAGCACGTGTGTTGAGCTGATGAGAACCACTGATTTGTATTTATACACTGTATTGTTGATTGCCTGAAAAAAGTGCAGCCGTCTGCCATGCTGGTACTCCCCACTCCCACGGAGACACGCATTAAAAATGCCTAGATGTGTAGCATTTGGCTGCAAAAACAAGCAGTTTGTCTGCTGTAGGAAGACATTCCTCATGTAATTTCACAGTCAGTGGATGCACTAACCTAGAAAATCGATGTATCCTATGGTATAGTATGTAGTGTAACATCTGTTACAGTCTGGTTATGTTGGACTTACTCGAAGTAAATTAACGTAAATTAGAGTAAATTAACCTTTGACATTGTGACAAACGTAAGGAAATAGAAACTTGAGTAAATAGAAAGTAATTCACTGTGAAATGGCAATGTAGTTATTCTTTATTAAGTGGATGATGATTTTGTTGTTTATTTTTTTAGAGTTATTTCTTTTTTCCATTTGAAAAAGTGATGTGCTGAAATATATTGCATGTTTTATTGACGGAAAAAAAACAACTCAAACATTCGACCACATATACACACACACATATACAATGTGTGTGTGTATATATGTATGTATATATATATATATATATATATATATATATATATATATATATATATATATATATATATATATATATATATATATATATATATATATATATATACAGTGGGGCAAAAAAGTATTTAGTCAGCCACCAATAGTGCAAGTTCTCCCACTCAAAAAGATGAGAGAGGCCGGTAATTTTCATCATAGATATACCTCAACTATGAGAGACAAAATGAGAAAAAAAATCCAGAAAATCACATTGTCTGATTTTTAAAGAATTTATTTGCAAAATATGGTGGAAAATAAGTATTTGGTCAGTTACAAACAAGCAAGATTTCTGGCTCTCACAGACCTGTAACTTCTTCTGTAAGAGGCTCCTCTGTCCTCCACTCGTTACCTTCATTAATGGCACCTGTTTGAACCCGTTATCAGTATAAAAGACACCTGTCCACAACCTCAAACAGTCACACTCTAAACTCCACCATGGCCAAAACTAGAGAGCTGTCAAAGGACACCCGAAACAAAATTATAGACCTGCACCAGGCTGGGAAGTCTGAATCTGCAATAGGTAAACAGCTTGGTGAGAAGAAATCAACTGTGGGATCAATTATTAGAAAATGGAAAACATACAAGACCACTGATAATCTTCCTCTATCCGGGGCTCCACGCAAGATCTCACCCCGTGGGTTCAAAATGATCACAAGAACGGTGAGTAAAAATCCCAGAACCACACGGGGGGACCTAGTGAATGACCTGCAGAGAGCTGGGACCAAAGTAACAATGGCTACCATCAGTAACACACTACGCCGCCAGGGACTCAAATCCTGCAGTGCCAGACGTGTCCCCCTGCTTAAGCCAGTACATGTCAAGGCCCGGCTCAAGTTTGCTAGAGAGCATTTGGATGATCCAGACGATGACTGGGAGAATATCATATGGTCAGATGAAACCAAAATAGAACTTTTTGGTAAAAACTCTACTCGTCGTGTTTGGAGGAGAGAGAATGCTGAGTTGCATCCAAAGAACACCATACCTACAGTGAAGCATGGGGGTGGAAACATCATGCTTTGGGGCTGTTTTTCTGCTAAGGGACCAGGACGACTGATCCGTGTGAAGGAAAGAATAAATGGGGCCATGTATCGTAAAATTTTGAGTGAAAACATCCTTCCATCAGCAAGGGCATTGAAGATGAAACGTGGCTGGGTCTTTCAGCATGACAATGATCCCAAACACACCGCCCGGCTAACGAAGGAGTGGCTTCGTAAGAAGCATTTCAAGGTCCTGGAGTGGCCTAGCCAGTCTCCAGATCTCAACCCCATAGAAAATCTTTGGAGGGAATTGAAAGTCCGTGTTGCCCAGCGACAGCCCCAGAACATCACTGCTCTAGAGGAGATCTGCATGGAGGAATGGGCCAAAATACCAGCAACAGTGTGTGAAAACCTTGTGAAGACTTACAGAAAACGTTTGATTTCTGTCATTGCCAACAAAGGGTATATGACAAAGTATTGAGATGAACTTTTGTTATTGACCAAATACTTATTTTCCACCATATTTTGCATATGATGGGTTTTGAGATGAAACAATTGAGAATTCCACTTTAGGAAAAAAAAAACCTTTCATGGGTTAGGATGAGGTGTTTGGATAAATGTATATATTATTTGATTCTGTCAGAAAAGAATCATCCTTAGTAGTCTAATTTGGAGCTAAATTGGGGACATAAAATTTGTTAAAAACAACAACGAAAAAAGAACCTGAAAAAATTACTTCAGATACAATTTCATAAGACAGAATTGCAAAAAAAAAAAAGTATTACAGCTACAATAATTGTAAAACAGAACAAAAAAGATCAAACCTGCTAATCAGATTCAGTTTCTTTTTTTTTCCACAGTTGGAGATTTCTTTTTTTACAATTTAATTGGGGGGAGGAGTCAAAAAATGTTCAGGTTAAATTTCTTTTTTTACTTTTCACCTTCTTTTTTTTGTCAGCAAACTTTAAGGACCCAAATTAGCTCCATAGATTAAGTAAAATATTCTGTTAAGGCGACAGCAAACCTGCAGTATTATCATATAAAACCCATGTTTACATGCCTTAAATTGAAATGCTTTTAGGGAAAAAGATGTGTAGTTCCCAGCACATGTAAAACTAATAATAAGACAAAAATACTAATATATATATATTTTTTTTTTTCATTTTAATGACGAAGATTACTAGTTACAAAGACAGACATTAATCATAAAAAGGACTTTAGAAAATATGTTTTAGAATTTTAAGGAGACATAAACAAACAACTGTTTAGTTTGCAATCAACAGATTGAAAATGTACATCACTATCCACTCCAAGCTCTCTTAATAGTGGACAAACAGCTTAACTTTTCTTGTTGTTCAACTTAAAAAAAAAAAAAAAAAATACTGTATATAACAGTCATAGATAAGGATGTTCAGCAAAGCACTGAGGAAAAACAAGTTTATTTTTCTATAAGTGATTCCACCACTGCCATCCTGGAGGTTCCATCTAAATGAAATATTCCTTCTGGTTTTCATTCTGAGAGCAGCTCTGCAGTCCATTGTTATCTTCTGTTTTTTTCACCTCCTGGTTTTGGTATGCCCTCTTTCTTCTGTACAGTAATCGAACCAGTATTGCTAACGCAGATACAATCCCAGAAATCACCACAGCTATCAGACCTAAGATGAGAAGATAAAAGAGAAAAGTTAAAGCATCCTTTAAGGGCTAATTGGCTTCTTTAAGCAAGAAATGTAGTTAATAGAATATTCTCACTTTCTTTGCTTTGTGCATTATTTGTAAAATGATCATACCAGGAGCCAAAACCCTGCAGCCCTGCTATACATACCTCCAACGAGAGCAGAGTTTGTTCTGACAGCGTTTACTAGAGGCTGACCTCCTCCTACCGACCCAGATTGGTCTGCCGCAAAAAAACAAAGGATAAAAAAGAGCAAAAAGAAGCTCATCATTAAATAATGCAATACATTTCAATGATTGAGTGTAATTAAAATGTTATTGGAGTATCAATGAGAGAAGAAAAATCCATTATTAAGTGGCATGTTCGTAAGGGTCCTAATGCTGCATTCAGGTGCTTTATTCTTTAAAAAAAGACAATTATCCGCTGTCAGAAGTTATAAAAATCTTTTTTTTGTTGTTGTTTTTTTTATAGGTACCGTAGATGACTTTAAAACCTTAAGACTTTTTTTAAAAGTGCGATTTAGGGAGTACTGTTACACCCTTACTGATACCTTCCTCTGGTTCCAGTTTGGTAAATGATAAATGTCAGAATTTCCGAGTCCGAATTTCTGACAGATGTTTAATAATGCTGTAGTTCAGAATAAAATGAGCTGTGAAATTATGAACGCTAGCAAAGTATTCCCACTGACCTGAATGGTGTTGGGTGTTTCCTGCTGCATAGGAGCCGCAACTGGATTGCACGAGTGGGCCGGTGACAACAACAGAGCTGGTGCTTGGTCGGAGCAGAGCGGCTTTCAGAGGGCTAATGGAGTTAAAGAGGACAGCAGATAGACAGCCAGTGAAACCCAGAGAGCCCAACTGAGCCAGCTCTGGATCCAACTCCTGAGAGTCTACAGGAAAAAGGAGTGAAACAGAAAGAATGAAGTGTTTACTAGTTGGAAGTTTAGGTTCTTGGAGCAATTTTATGAAATTGGACCAAATCCAGCAGTTTGATGTCTTTTAAAACTGAAATCCATATTTAAGATTAGTTAAATCACCTATCTAAAAAAATCTATCTTGTTGATAGACAACTGGTTCAAAATATCTTATTTAATATATATATATATATATATATATATATATATATATATATATATATATATATATATATATATAGTATCTTAATATATTATTCCCAAATGGATAATAGGACAGAGGCAAAACACACATACTCTACAGTTGTTGACAAAATACATTCAACATAAACAATTGCTACTACTGGGATAGGAAAATGATGCAAAAATTAGTAAAGTTTTATTTGTTAATACAGAAAAATATCTGATCAATTTTAAACTAAAAGTGTCGTAACTAAGATGTCATGCAAAGCTTTGATCACACAAATACTTCCGTTTTACTATTAGGGAAACCTAATCAACTACTTCCCGATATAGATGTGAAGGTAACGCATTCAAACTCCTGTCTGATCAGTTCGTCTTTAATCCATTAGTTAAGAGACATACATCAAAAACTTTCATACCATTTTAAATAAATTCTTACACAGAGGCATCAAAGACAAAAACTGTTATTGTGTTTACTGATTAAAAGAATGGACTTTATACACACACACAAAAAATCACAGAACAAATAAAATTTCTATTATAAAACTTCAATATCAATTAGATTTAAAAATGTGCTCATAAAGACCTTAAATGAGAATTATTGAATAGGTAAAGTTTTAAGAGAGATGGATCCCTTTAACTTCTGTTCACAGTTTAAAATGTTTTGCTGTACTATTATTATAAATACAAAGAAACCAAATAACCTCTCCACAGACGCGTAGCCCAACTCAGAAAAGCGACAAGACTCCATCTACACCTTATGGACAAAGGACATTCTTTTGAGAACCAGAATGTTCACATTTTGGACAAAGAAAATGGAGGATTTGAGAGGGATGTGAATGAAGCCATCTATGTTAAGAGTGGAAAAACAACTTTAAACAGAGGGTGTGGACTCTGGTTTCGGCTTTCAAAAACCTACAATGCAGCAGCTGAGTTGATCCCTTCCCGCTATCATCGCAGCCCCTGTATAGGGGGATTGTGATTGGTCTGCTACCTTTAACTTGCCCCTTTATATGTGTGCATTCACAGATTTATGACCAGATAAAGCTGGATTGAGTTAGCAAGTTGATAACCAGCTTCATGGTACCGCTGATCCTGATCGCCATTGTTAAACTGGATAGGCTGGAAGTAATCCTGCTACGTTGAGCTCGCTTCGTGGTGCGGGTCTCTGGTTTTATACAACAGAAAGGCCTGTCCTTAAAAAAGTAGTATATTTTTTAATCTAATCAAGCCATTTAATCAAGACCTGCTCCTGAACAACACTTTTCTAAATGCTTGAAAAAAAGTACCGGTAGCTATAATTGGCTGTATGTTTGTGTGCAGCTGAATCACTTACTGTAAACTCTGCCAAGAATCAGAGACTTTATGTCGGTGAATTCAACACCAGAGGTTAGGCTGAAGTTCTCTTTGTTATGCTGGTCAACCTGAAGGAGAACAGAAAGTTTCAATACAAATAAATCTTAAAAAAAAATAAATAAACATGAGCAAAGCTGCTACTGTAGGTAAATATCTATCAGTGAGATTCTATATCTCCATTAGATGAGCATCTTCTCTTCCAAAAAAGGGTTTTATTTCTGAATCTGGAAACATCTGAACGTCTATGGTCCTGATCTTGAAAAAATGACGTACAAGGAGTCCCTTCACCGGCTCTGTGATGGATGTTCTCTGATAGCTGGTTATACTCCATTTTGTTTTTGAATTTTTATAAACATGCTGCAGTAGTTAAGGTTTTTTATTTTTATTTTGGTTTGATCGTATAAAGATTCTCCGAAGTCCTGCTGTATTAAATTTTACCGGCTACAAAAACTTATTATTTGTTATTATTCTACAAGTTTTGTTTTCTGATGGCCCAAATACATTTATTTTTAAATGTAAATCCCCTTATTGTCCCACAATTGGGAAATTCACTCTGCATTTAACCCATCCCCTCAGGGAGCAGTGAGCTGCCATTGTGTGGCGCCCATGGAGCAGTGTGGGGTTAAGGGCTTTGCTCAGGAACCAAAAGTGGAGGCTGTGGGGATCAATCCGGGTGCTTGCAACCTTCTCAGAGCACAAGCACGCTGCTCTAACCACTAGGAGAACACTCCCCAGAATGCATTAGTGTCTCCAGAAAGGTTTGCCTTTGAGTTCGCACCTGACTTGTGGTGCTAAAAAAGTTGCATTTATGATTAGAAAAACTGCTGTGTTAATTGTTTACATTTTTATTTCCTCCACTCATTAATTTGAATGGTTTAGTCATTGGAATATGATTTTCATAATGATGAGGGCAAGCAAAAAACTATATTAGCACGTGTTAAAAGCTATACAAACCTTTTGAATATAAAGCCAAAGAATAGTAGAAAAGAATATATAGTGGCGGTCTAGTGGTTAGGGCATAGAGCTTGGAATCAAGAGGTTCTGAGTTCGAACCCCACCCACACAGACTGACACTCTGGATCCCTCAGCAAAGACCCTTAACCCCACACTGCTCCCCGGGCGCTGCACAATGGCAGCCCACTGCTCCCCAAAGGAGATGGGTTAAATGCAGAGAATTAATTGCGTTGCTCTGTACTTGTGACAGTGCAATGACAATAAAAGCTGATAAAAAAAGAAAAGTTTCTTAGGAAGAAAAAAATCACAACCCCTTATGTTTGGTGCTAAACTAACCTCTCATGATTTTAATGACAGAGCTAAAAACAGAGGCTCTCTGAAGATGATGTGTACATGTACCAGTATAGTGACTGATTCTGCCAGTCTGCTGATGGAAACAGAATGCAGTCTTCTGTCAGCAAGATTCCTCACTTTGCTCCTTAGGATCTCTTCTTCTTTACTACCTTCCAGTTTGTACCTCACCTCCAGCTGCTCTGCAAGCAAAGCAAAAACATGATAGCACACTGTTTATTTAATGTGTAACTAAAGCACACAGAACTTTTCATGAAACCAGAAGCCTTCTTTCTGTCTCTCTTTGCTTTTGCAGTTTTGTTGCTGCAGGCACCATTGTTGAATCCAGATATAAGACAAACGATTACTGCTTTCCATCAAGATCCCCTGAAGGTTCCATCAGCTGATTGCCTTCACCTGTCAGAGCTGTCAACTTCAATATAAAAAAAAAAAACACCAAGATTCACTAGTGCTATTTCTGTTGTGCACATTGTTTAAAATCTCCCTATTTTTTGCTGAATAAAAAATAAATAAATACATTCTTTGTGAAATACTTAATCAGTTTGATGTGTCTATAAATGCAATTTTATTTTAAGACAACTCTGGGTTCCTGAGCAAGACCCTTAACCCCTGATTTTTCCCTTGGTGCCACACAATGGCAGGCCACTGCTCCCCAAGGGGATGGGTCAAAATGCAAAGAACAATTGTACCCATTGTGGGACAGTAAAGGGGTTTATATTTTTACAAAATCCACTTTATGAAAGAGGGGGAAAAAAGATGCAAAGCTCCCTAAACCTCATGTTGCATTCACACTAAACATTACTGTGAATTTGAAGTGTCACTTGGTCATAGTTGGTTGCTTGACTCTTTGGGATAATTTGTGATGAAATGTCCTGCTCGCTTCGCAATGTAATCAAACAGGAGGAGATTCTACCTGGTTGGAGGCTGGTTGTTTGTTTAACTCTACATTGCAGACAGGAATTTATAGAACGAGTGACATATTTTATACTATTATGGAAAGCGTAACAACTGCATCGATTCTGGCATCACGGATCTGCCGGATTCTCCAGAGTTTGGGGAGTCCAGGAGCTACAGCTGGATCACAGTAGCTGTTATCCTGCTTTGGGGAGGGATTAGTCAGACCACACAAGGTAAAACGAGGAGGCGCTCTAGAGCTAAGGCAGCAGCAGCAGAGCACCAGAACTTGGCAAGAAGATCAAATCATGAATGATTTAACAGCACATATTAGGGCGGAATTTAAAAGCCACCCACAAACCTCCAAAATAGCTTTTGCTGACTCTGTAGGGTTTCGTTGTACAGTGTGAGTTCACAGCTCACGATGCATGTTCTCACCCTGTGCTGCCCGACGAAATGGTGTGATCTACCTGCTCACACTGCATGTCTAAAAACAACATCGGACTCAGCACCACAGTGAGATGGCGCTACCCAGACTCGTCTATCTGGAAACCAAAAGAGTAGAAGAGGAATATGAAGCTCACTAGAGTGAAACTTAGTGAGCTTGGCCTTGGCAATGTGTGCAGTTTTGTGTGCTGAAAGTCCTCAAAACAAAAGGCATTGACGTATTTGGACAAAGACATGGCTGAGCAAATGTGGCTACTACGGTCTGTCAATTTTACAGAAAGAACTCCATTTTAGTCGCGCTCCCACCATGCTTATGTGTTTTCATCTGAGAGGAAGAAGAAGAGGAATCCTTGTTTGCGTATGTGCACCTAGTGATTTGCCCACAATGGCCGACTGAACTTGAAACATCTTTGATTTTCTCTGCAAACATAAGGGATTGTGATTTTTTCTTCTTAAGAAACTTTTCTTTTTTTTCTCTGCATGAATCCTGATCAGAAGGTGGTCATGAGAGGCTGATCGCTCCTCGTTACCCCCTGTATACTGCATAACGCACGATCAGGCTGAAAGTCGGCATGATTGAAAAATTCTCGCATGACTCGACGAAAATTGGCCCGAAAGGGGCAAAAAATCATACAGTGTATGTCCGGCTTTAAAGAGTTTTCTTTCCCCCTGCTGCTGCATGCATACTCTCCAAGTCAACATTATGTACAGCAGTCAACAACTGAATGATGTAAATTAGTGCAATTTAAATGCTAAATTGAAATGAATTTTCATTAATTTGCTTTACAACAATATGTCTTTACAGTGCAATGTTAAAGTCCCATGACCAATATACCTAAAGCTGCAGAGCTGCTTGTAGCCTTTTCACTTGTATAACGTGCATATCCGTATTTAATGCACAACTAGGAACTGAAAAAACAGTGATTGACAACAGTCTGGTTAAAATAACTAAACATATTTAAAACTTGTTTTTTTTTAAAGCCAAATATTTATTATTGTTAGAAAGCCTTCCTTAATTCTCACCTTGCTTGTTGATCAGCAGAGCCATGTATTCTCTGTGGTGAGAACACACATAAAGGACCAAAGCTGGAGTCTGGCTGGTCCTGAAACTCATGGAAATGGTTTCTGCCCTCAGGTTCGATGTAATGGAGGAAGAAAAGGAGTTGGACTCGTTCACCAGCTTCTCCTTGAAGATGTATCTGATGGATGTCTCCGGCTTGAAGCTTACAGAAACATCTGTAGGGAGAAATTCTAAATGTTTGCTTGCAAAGGTTTCCCATATTTCTGTGAGCAGCTTGTCCATTTTATAGTATTACTCTTTGAACACCTTTTTGTAGATTTTTCCATCTCCAGAAAGAACCTTATCTCCTGTTTAGCTCAGCTGGCCTTGCTAGATGTTATTTGATTTAGCAAAATGATTTAGTTGAAATAAACCCAGCTTACACCAGATACCTGTATACTTGTTCACTGCTCTTAATTGCCCTATAAACCACCATCACCCTCATCCGATAAAGCTAACGGAGCTCCTGTCCTGGGTATTGCTACTTTAAATTTGCTACATTGGCTGGTTTTTGAATGCAGGAAAAGTTTTTTTTTTAAACATTTTAATCACAAAACCTGTTTCTGTTTTAATCCTCCTCAGAATTATAACAGATAATGTTACTGTCATTCTATATTGAGCTAAACACTGGTGTCCTACTATATAAGCATGCAGGAGGGTTTTGGGTTGAAAACCCTACTCTGTTTGTCAGTTGGTGTGATATGGGCAAGACACTTTACCTGGATTCCCTGTATAGCTTCCCTTCTGCTATCATGCCCCATAGCAGCTGTGGCCGCAATGTAGCTTTGCACCTATCACATTATTGTGATTTTATTTATGTGGTTGATGCCAGTGTTGTGGTCAAGATCACCTAACCCGAGACCAAGACAAGACCATATACAGATTAAAGCTATATTATATAACTTTTCTTGAATAAATCTATATCTGTCACAAAGTTGTGAAATATGCTATGACACAGATAATTTGTTGAAAAAAATAGATTGATCTCCTTCACTGCATTTACCAATGAGACAGGTTATTGCTTGGATTTGAATCCAAGCATCCAATAAAAAGAAGGATCTTAAAGAAACTGATAATATTCTGATGATTAGTGTTATTTCCACAGTTGTGGTCTTGACCGGTCTTGAAATAAAATGCAGAGTCCTCAGCGCCCAAGACCGAGACCAAATGCGGTCAAGTCCGAGACGAGATCAAGACCATCAAAAAATGGTCTCGAGACCGGTCTCGAGACCAAGACCGATCTCAAGTACTGCAACACTAGTTGATGCACATTAAATAACAGAACTGTATATAATTTTGCCAGAATTAACCATGAGGTTAATTTCTTCTGTTGTCTCTGCATAAAGCACAATTTGTCTCTCTAATACCAACAAAGGTTAGCACGCATGGAGCACTTTGGTCCTCTGACTTGAACAGGCACTATGTAAGCACTGGTCATATATTCTGTGACCAAGCCAGAGATAGAATGTGTTTCATGATACTGTTTGAGTGAAGCAGCGAAGAAAAATAACCAGTGGACCTCTTAGGGTGTGTTACGGGAGGTGCTGTGGGTTAAAAAAAACAATTATCCCCCTTTTGGCCAAAAACATTCAGGCAGGAGCAGGACCAAACTCAGTTGGGTTGGTATTATGTGTTTGTTGGACTACCCAATGTCAATTGCATTACTAATCAATGGGTTATATGGGCTTTGATGTTTGTGCCTTAACATCATTGTCAGGTTTTTTCACTTACAATTCTTGACTTCTGGAAAACTGTAAGAATATGTTCTTAAAGCTGTTTGAGAAGGTTCACCTATAGTATGCAGGACAACATTAAAATTTGGCTTTGGCGATCCTTCCAAAATGTGCATTTTCAGGACTTTTTTAATGAATACTAGTGTTCTGGGTGGCATCTCTTTCCCATGATGCATAAAGTAATTCTAACTTCTGACTTTTCTGTATAAAAATCTGCTCCCACAAGAGGAATGCAGTATTCATATCTCTAGAGATGCCCAAGGTCACTGGTGCAGCCAAGCCTTCCAAGGCATCCAACCATAGAACGGGGACAGATTTTCAATGGTACGTTTGTGTCAGTTATTTAGATGATAGATGCATTAATCTACAGATTTAGACAATTCCTATTCTTCTGTATGCTCAGGCAGAAACCCTAAGATTTCACTTTGGTGCACTGAAGCAGGCATCCCCAAACTCAGTCCTCAAGGTCCCCTGTCCTGCAGGTTTTAGAGGTTTCCTTGCTCCAGCACAGCTGATTTAAATTGAAAGCTGATTAACAGGCTTTTAGTCTACTGCAAAAATTATAACCAGCTGTGCTGAAGCAGAGAAACCTCTAAAACCTGCAGGACAGCGGGCCTTGAGGACCGAGTTTGGGGATGCCTGCACTTCAGCATACTGAGTGTGATAAGACATATATCCTGGAAAAAAAAACTCACGCCATCCTAGTAGTTGACCAACTCTCTCATTTTAATTCGTCTAAAGAGTTTTCTTTGAGAATTTTCCTGAACCAGCCAGTGCGATATTTCCTCACTGCACAGTGTTTTGTAAGTCAACCAGAAAGATTCGTTTGGGTCTGAACTGACCAGAGTGCCTACGTTATGTAATTCTATTAATTAAAATCCAAATACAATACCTATTATAATCGTACAAAATTTGAAAATGTCACACAAATATGAATATAAAGTCATTGTTTATTGTTCAGTTACACCTAATTATAAAGTTCTATCATCTTTACTATTAGAGAAAATAAGAGAAATGTAAACTGAAAACAAGATGTTACTGAACTATTCTCAGGAAAAAATGACTCACTAAATCCTTTGGATAAAACACTAATGTATATCTGAACAGACTAAGCCTACATACCCTTTTCACAGAAGACTCCAGCATACGCAGATGAGCTGCAGTCACAAGAAAAGCTCTTAGTTCTCTCCACACAGCGACCTCGGTTCTGGCAGAGTGCACCGTAGGTGCTGCAGTAGCCCCCACATCCTGCCTGCACTCCTGGGGTGACCTTCGCTCTTTCCTCCAGATCTAGAGTGATGCCATTCAGCTGCAAGGAGCGGATACATCCTCGAAAACCCTTCTGCCTGGAAGCGGTGCCTCCTAAATGGACACACAATGTTAAAACTGGGTACATTGAATGGAGCCCTTCTATAATTAAAATCCCACACTTTGAAACCCTGAGGAAAAATTGATTTTGAAAATCTAGATAAAAATGTTTCCAATATGGAAATTGGATCATCTCAAATATTTTTGTACAAAATGTTTTATCAGCAGAACTTAAAAACTCATCAGTAACCTTTGGGCAGCTTTTCCAGTTTCTACATCATAAAGTCACAGCAAGAAGAAGAAGTCTGATCTGTCCAAAGGACATTAACCAAGAAGCTTTGTGGCTCGCGTAGTAACATGTATTTTGGTAAACTCCAGCCTGGCTTTTTTATGATTTATGTCCTCCTTGGTCGTCTCCCATTGGTCGTGTTCCATTTAAGCGGCTGCATCCCCAGAATGACCTGACCTGGGTCCTTCCAAGGCTGTGAAAATAAGGAGGCCGAAGAAATTCAGCTATAGATTCAAATTCGGCTTTCACTGGCCCTACTTCAGCCTAAGGTCTGTTGCCTAGCAACCTTGATAGTTGACTCACAAACTATTTAAATGAACTATTTTCATTAATTTAAGATGATAGTATTCCTAATACGGAGGGAATAGAAGGCTGCATTTGTCAGCCACATTCAAAGGAGTCTTGAATCTGAAGATGCAGCTGCTGGATTTGAAGAAAGCAAGTTGACTTTAGCTCAAACAATGTATGATGTGATTTGACATTGATGTTTTTTGAACTTGAAGTTCAACTTTAATCTCTTTTGACATTTTTTCTTTTGTTATCTTTCACATTATCCGTCTCTTTGATTTGTAATCAATTTTCATTATGCAGCCATATCCATGGAGGTGGATCAAGCTAAATCAAGCTAAACGGAGGCCAGCTGACTGATTGTAAACACCTTGGATGGTATTATGGGACACACCTTTGGTTACGTTATTTTCGTTCTTTTGTGTGGGTGGTCTTAGTAATATCTGTCAATGAAAAATCCCTCTAGATTTCCTATCTAACAACTGCAACATGTTTTAGTTAAAGACATTTTTACTTCAGAGGTAAATTAAAGACTCCATAGATAACTACAAAAGTAAATAAAGATACAATAAAGAAAGCTGATACACATTTGTGCCAGATTAAGGATAAGAAGCAGCATCTAAATGGCAATCTTTGTTGATTAATTGAGTTGCTGTGGCAACTTGAATTGCTGAGGAGCTCAAAGGGATTTATTGCTTTAATAAAGCAGGATTAAAATTTTGAAAACAGACAGGAAACTCTAAATAAAATATATTGTTGAAACAATAGAGGTAAAAATGTCTGACAGGTACTAACATAACCTGTGTAAACCGAAGCTGAAATAGAAGATCTAGTGTATTTTATTGTTTAACTATTTTTCAAAGTTAGAATTGCATGTTAAAGGAATAGTACACCCAAAACATGATTAGCCTTCATTTTCTACTCACCCCCATGCTGAACAACACTCTGGAGTACTTTTTTGATATCTCAAATGCATCTGGAGATCTGGGAGGCTTCTTGCTGTCTGCTGACATTCAAATAATGGAGGTCTATGGTGCCCGAGACAGAAAGGTCCATAAAAGTCCACAAAAAACGTGTCAATATTCCTCCATACTGCTCGTCCAACGTATTCCAAGTGTCCAACTGAGTGGGTAGCGTCCATAATTTACTCGAAACGAAGTCATTTAGAATGTTTTTAGAGCATAAACAGTAGTGTATAGGATTTCCTGAAAGCGCGTTCACGACGCTACGGAAACCGAGGCAGACCAAACCAGATGAAAGTGCGCATTCAGCTCGGCAAAGAACTCATGCTCTTCCTCAACACTGAAGTCCTCAGACATTTTTCTTTCGTTGTTTCTTTCTTTGCACAGGTAAACAGCACATTTCTTCTTCTACGCTTGCATTATCGGCAGAGCAGACGCTGAATGCGCACTTTCATCTGGTTTGGTCTGCCGGCTTCCGTAGCGTTGTGAACGCGCAGGTGCGCGCTTTCAGGAAATCCTATACACTACTGTTTATGCTCTAAAATCATTCTAAATGACTTCGTTTCGAGTAAATTCTGGATGCTACCCACTCAGGACACTTGGAATACATTGGACGAGCAGTATGGAGGAATATTGACACGTTTTTTGTGGACTTTTATGGACCTTTCTGTCTCGGGCACCATAGACCTCCATTATTTGAATGTCAGCAGACAGCAAGAAGCCTCCCAGATCTCCAGATGCATTTGAGATATCAAAAAAGTACTCCAGAGTGTTGTTCAGCATGGGGGTGAGTAGAAAATGAAGGCTAATCATGTTTTGGGTGTACTATTCCTTTAAAGTTCAGCAAGAGAAGCTACAGTTTCACAGACCCACAAATAATTGGCTGTTCAGCTGCAGGTGAACGTGTCCATCAGCAGGAGCTTCCTGTCTGGTAGCGGGGAGATCATCAAGGTGAAGGGATGCCTCTTTCATGTTCCTTCTAGCTTGAATTCGATGCCACCTGTTGTCGTTCAGCGGATCATCAGCCGTCACGCTAACCTCGAAAGGGCCGTTACCCACATCGAAGGAAAAAAGGACCTGTGTGGGGGCTGAGAGAGGGAAAGGGAAACATCACCTGCTGAACAGATTCAAGGCAGTTCTGTCCTCATACAACATGCTTTCAGAAACTATTTTCTCATGATTCATACATCTGAAAATATCATACATATTATTAAACTTTTACATGGTTTTATTGAATATTTTTAATCTGAAGTTCTTTACATTAAGTGTAACATTCACTGCTGAGGTCATCAGATCAGAGGTTACTTACAGCTCAGTTCAAGTCGAATAAAGTCTCTAATTCCCAGGTTTTCCAGTAGGACACCAGAGGAGGAGACAGTTTTAAACAGGAGTGAAATGTCTGCACTCAACTCTCCATGAAAGGTTGGAAAGTGGAGGTAGGATGTTTCCTTTTCAAAAAAGGCAGCGTTCCAGATACTTTCTGTAAGAATCCAAAAGGATGTTTTAGAACAGAAGCAACTGGGAAACATGTAGTTACCTCAAACACAGCTTGGTCATGTCATGAAATTAAACTTACTGTCTCCATAGCAACGAAGAGGTCCCACCTTGTAGGAGATCTCTAATCCCGTGCTCTGGACATCTCCAAGCGCCAACAATCTAACTGGGAGGGATTCCTTATGGTTCAGGAGGCAAGAGTCATTCTCCCTGGATAACAGAGTCAGCAGTTGACACAAGAAAGAAAAAATAGAAGGTATTTTAGAAAGGAAGTCCCAGATTGTGATTAAAATAAATTCTGCAAAGTAGACAAAATATATAGCTTTGAAAAGAACAACTAGCAGTGGCAGCAGAGCGAATACATTACCATGCAGAGAGCTCAGCATCACAGTTGCGGTGGTGTTGGGGGTCTACACAGTCCTGCAGACTGCAGGTACAATGTTTGCTGCCTGGTGGAGCCCTGACCCAGTATGTCTGCCTTCGCACCGCACCGGGGCCTCCAACCCACCAGCTGAGTGGAACACTCTCTGAGACAGACAGGCAGGTTAGAAGGCTTCAATTTGACTGAATGGTCTACTTCTTAAAATCATATCTGTTTTGAGTTACAGGAAAGAGAGACACTTTTCAGTAATTCTAACAGGCAAAGAAGTTGAAGGACATTCCCCCTCAATTTACTCATCTGTAGTTTTTATTACTTTTTTTATGTTTCACAATGAAGCAGATGTAATTAAATTTCACTGCTGTACAAATGAAAATGTAGAATTACATTCTGTTTTATTCTATTCTCCACATTTAGTTATTTATAGAATAAAACAAAGATAAACTGAAATGAAATAATTGGCTTGGAGGCAGATGTTTGTCTTGCATCTAGAAGGTTGATGGTCTAAAACCCAGCTCCATCCATCTGAGTTGTTGTGTTCTCGGGCAAGACACTTTACCTGCATTGTTTCCTGATGGAGGCCAGAAGGTCCGGTGGTGCCTTTGCAAGGCAGCGGCAATTTGTCACTGTACCGCAGGGTCAGCTATGGCTACAGATCTCACTGCAGAGACTCACAGCTGACTGGAGCTGAGGCCCCACCGATCGTCCAAACAAAAGTCCGATCAAATCGATGGGATTAGTTTTATAGAAACGCCAATTTGTTATGCATCTTTGTGCAATTTTTGGATATTCAATTTTCTAATGTTTCACTTTCAATATCCTAAAACAAGGACTCAAGGATTAAATAAAATAAAACAAAATGGAGCAAAGGTTTGGACTACATTTTCACTTTGCTTCACGCTGCTGTTTGTTTCTGTCCCTAAAGGTGTGGTCAAGTTTTCTGTACAACTTACTTATATGCCAGGCAGTTGAAACAAAGGGGATACAAAAAAGCATGCACAGCATTTACCTGGATAAAAAACTAAAATCTATATATTCGTGGATCTATATCTTTATGAATATAGATATACACATATATTTTCCTATATATATCCTATATATACATATCATTTCTTGTAGCCAATCTACAACCTCACCTGCCATGTAGAGAAGGTGGGAGTGTCTGCAGTGGTAAGCCAGTTCCTGTTCACAATACTCTGATTGGTTGATGATTGCCAATAACAGCTCTTCATCCACTGCATAATCAAAGGAAGTAAAATGCTGACCTCCTTCTTTTAACTGTTGGATTTTGGTCAGTTGTGTGTTATTGTGCTGGATCACTGTCCATGTCATGTTTTCTGCATGGAAGAAAAGAATTATGTTTTATTTCTGTCTACAGTGGGAAAAAATCTCTTTATGCTCTAACCCTTAGTAGGACAGGTGGGAATGGTGGTACTTGAAAGAGAGAATAGACACCGGCGTGTCAGTGTGCAAGGATTTGATTTGTCAGCTACCTGTCATGTTGCAGAATATCAACTGTGGCTTGATGGGTCCACTACCATCCACATCAATGACATAATTTCCAGATGTGTTGCCTCTTTGTTTGTAGGCCTCACAAGACTGTTCATATATTGCTGAGAAAAAAATAGAAATTTAATCTCATTATCAATGTAAATTTTTACAATTCATCTTAATTTTGACATTAAAAGTTATGAGCTTGGACTCATTTTACAGTAGTAGCCATTCAAAATGTCCCCACTTTCCTTGATAGACCCTTGGAGGGTCCCTTACAATTGTTTTAACATTTGTACTAAAATATTCTTTCTGTCATGATTTGCGAAAATTGAGATCTAAAGAGAAGCGTCATCTCCTGGTCAGACCCTATAATTCAGTGAAAGGGTGGAGGCAAAGTAAAAAGATATGCAAGCGGGGGTCACTCCAGTGGCTGGAAGTTATAGGGGAGTTTGCTGGGAGTTGGAGGAAAGTGGGCTGCCATTGGGCTGGTGTTTGACTGGGAAGGGCCATTTTGAATGGCTGCTACTGTATGTAAAATTACTTCAGATGCTGTGGTGCATCAAAACACATTTGATAAAATGAGATTAACAGGAAAGGAATTTTCTTGTTTTGCAATATGCTGCCATTTCTCCTGTGAAACCAGGAGAATAAAAAAGAATATTATGAACCAAAATTGTTTATAAGGTTTCATGTTTTCAGCAATACTCCACTTAGGGTATTGGGGTTTTAATCAAATGTGCACATTTAAATGCTGGGAAAACTAGTTTGGATAAGTTAAAAGTTAGTTAGAAGTTACTGTGCCCAAAAAGTATCCAACTACTTCAGTATCACTACATATCTGAGAATACTACTCTATACTATTCTACATTATTTCAGTTTACTTTAGTCGAGTTTGGACATCTAATAATTGTGATATATTTGTGTAGATATGTTTTTTTTTGTTAAATGAATAACAGACTAAAGGTTTTAGAACTTGTTACATCTAGTGCTTAGGGGTGGTTTGGGATTGGGTCAGTTGAGCAGCATCAGCCTCTGATCAAAACACGTCACTCCGAATGAAGTCACACTTGCAGCTGTGGAGGACCCTTTGATTGAAGGTGAGGGCTATAAACAAGAATGGGATGGCCTCTTCCCTCCCATGGAAAAAGAAATGAGTCGTTGCTATGGCAACGCATTGACGCCCCATGTGCGTTGCTGTCGGTCTGTGGTGCAGGTTGACGTGAAATGAAAACATTTGCCCCTTTCTTAAAACAAATGTTTGTGGTCAAATAAAACCCTTTGGTCAGTGTGACAAAGATGCCGCAAACCAGCTAAGGTTACAGTTGGTTGCATGTGTTTCCTCTGCCATTTGTTTGCCGTTACACCCGCTGGGATTTTCCAGCGGGTCTTCACTGGTTCGCTATATAAGGGCTGAATGGTCCACTCACCCTGACCACTACGGGGTTCAGGACGGTTCCTAATCTGGCAGACCCTCTGAGGGAACGCGCAAACGAAGGGTTATTGCTTGGGGGCCGGTTGAATCAGCAAATCTCAGCCTTAAATAGACACAGCAGATTAAGGACTAAACCATTCACATGAAATTTGCCAATTTACAACTTCCTTTTAAAATACACATTTTACCCAAAAGAGCCCAACAGATTTTGGTTTCACAACTGGAGCAGTACGGCTAATGCCACAGTGTTCCGCTTGATTTGTGCATATAAATATATTTATTATAATTCATGGAGAAAGTATTTCACATTATATGGACACTGCAATGGGAAAGTAGAACAGGAATGGAAAAAACAAGAAAAAGGAGAAAAGATGAAAGAAACGGGAGATAAAAGGGAGACAATGATAAAACATCTTTAGTCTGCTTCATCACCTTTGGTAGTTCAAACTCAACTAGACCGAAAGAAGTGTACTACAGACAAGGTAATATTAGCCCTGGCTATGGTTACCTTCGGAGATCAGCAGGTCACTCTGGTCCACTCAATGTCAGACTTTTTTTAAATCACGCACTAACTCTGTAAACAGGCCACACAGGGAAGCTTAAAGGTATAATGGTATCACCTCAAAAAATTTTAACTTACCACTGTGAGCTCTGTTTGTGAATCAAGATGCAGCCGCAATGCATTCTGGGAAAGCGGTCGGTCTGAAGAATGCACAAGTCTGCTCTGATGCATGCTCGATAAAGAGGGTAGGGCGAGAACTAGGGGTGGAACGGTTCACAAAATCCACGGTTCGGTTCAGTTCACAGTTCGTGGTCACGGTTTTCGGTTCGGTTCGGTACATGTTGATTGTTAGGAAAATGTATTATGTCTTGTACAACGTGTGTTGCACAATGCTTGCACATTGTTTTTATCCACAACTTTCTTTCCGCCATCATCCTAGGTCACTCTAAATGCAAAGTGGTCCCATACAGCAAACCTATAAAGTGCTGCTGGCGCGTCTTCCAACTAGGGTGGCCATTTCTTTTTTGTTTTTTTTATTTTGTTTTTTTAACAGTGTCCTGTCTGGCAATGTGGCAATAAGAATAATTGTCTTGATGCCAAAAAGAGCCCAACAGATTTTACTTTCACAAGTGTAGCAGTATAGCAATTGTCATATTGCTCCGCTTGTTTCATGCATATAAATTGCCTTATTATAATTATGCAGGGAGTTTTACAGTTTATATGGACACTGCAATGTAAATAGAGCAGAAAAACAGAAAAAGAAAGGGGGAAAAAAGAAAAAAAAAAGAGAAAAGATGAAAGAAAAAGGAGATAGAAAGGAGACAATGACAAAACATTTTCAGTCTGCTTCATCACCTGCAACGAGATGCAAAAAGAACAGCACAACCGAAAGACATGGTACGAGACATACAATAAAGCAACACCTTGAAACTACCGCTGAAGTAGTATTATTTATATAGGTATTCTGCACTTTAAAGATTCATCTCGGCGTTCACTTTTTAAACACCACAATGTATTAAATAAATGCAAATGCTGGGAACCAATTCTTTTTTAAATTCCTTTAATATTTTGTTCTATTCAGCTACACAAGCATCCTCTTTAAACTACTGTACTAAGAATTGTACTATAAATGGGACGTTACCCGATTCTTATGTACACCGTAGTAATTTATTGATATGCTGCCCAATGTCCTTTTTGGTGCTATAGAAATGGCCACCCTACCAATCAAACAATCAAACTTCTTTATTGTCAACTACAATTTACATTGCAATCATAATATTAGTTTCAGTACAACCGTTCATCACAATATGTCACATACATTTGGGGGTGGGGGGGCTGAGAGGGGGGAACGGATTGACTGAGGCCATGAATGCCGCAGAATGCTGCCATTTGGCAGAACGGCGCATTCTTAAGGCTCGCCAGGTTCCCACCGGTTACCTGTTACGCTTATCTATAGCGCTGCCTTTATCTCTGTGGAAAGATTTGGAGCCGCACTGGAGAAGAGAGGGGGGGGGGGCATATTTCACACTTTATCCTTGACAGGATACAGTTTGAGATATCAAAAACCTTCTGGACAAGAAAAGCACATGTAACACAAGACAGACATTTTAGCAGAGCGGTCACATCGGAGGCATAGTCACATGAGTCAATCTGCGATTTGAGACGTTTATAGTGTGCGTATGATGAAACAACACAATCGCTTGAGTAGACAAACAAATACGTGACAGGAACTATGTTAAATATTCTGTTGTTGCCATAGTGGTGCGACTTGGGAGGGGTCCAATGCCACTTTGGAGTAGAGAAAACAAGCGCTACAACGGTGGTGAAAATTATTTTTCAGATTACTGGCAATGCTAATCTTTAGCTGCTAAATGCTAACTAGCTCGTGCTAAATTGCAAGCAAAGGACAAGCCTTTGAGCTGTGCTGGGGTTGAGCGGTGACATCACTCTCTTGCGGACTAGATGCAAATCGGTGAGAGTCTTTGGCTGTTGACACCTTGGTTGCTATTTTTTTTAATATTGCAAGGTTATTGGAATGGACAGTTTAAATGGTAAAGAAAGAAGCTTATTAACTGCTGTTGCATTAAGTTGTTACAGATTTATTTTTAGTTAAACATGTACCAAATGTGTCATACATTTACTCTTATCTAAATGCTGACTAATCAGTTGATATATAATTTTGGTATGTTATTCTTGTATTATATTAAGGAAATGTTCTGTTGAGGTGGAATAACCACACAGTTTATCTTGTGATAGATACTGTGCAAGGGTGCTAATCAGTGTTGTTTGAACTGAAAGTTTTTTTTTTCTTAAATCATACTTTAATAATCCCAGAGGGAAATGAATTCTCTGCATTTTACCCATCCCCTTGGGTCTTGCTCAGGGACCCAGAGTGGATCGAACTCAAAACCTCAGGATTCAAAGCCTTATGCCCTAACCACTAGGCCGCCACTCCACCTACAAAGTGTAAAGTGTGTAATACTCAGTTATATTATTTCGTTATAGTAAAACTAAAAAGAATATTAAAATATTGATACCTAGAAGTCAAGACTTAAATTAGAGGATTAAGCCTGTTTTGTAAATGCAGGTAAGGTATTTTGGTGTATGCTCAAGTTCCCTGGAGAAGAATCCATTTGATGGTGTGGAACCAGAGTCTACCTACACCATTAAAAAAAGCAGAGAGACTATTTGATCTGGTACGATTTTACCAAGCAATCTGCAGCCCTAGTAATAAGCATTTAAAGGCGCCTTTCTGTTTATTTTATTTTTTTGTATCTAAGTTTCCTACTAAAGGGACGTTCGTACAGTATTTTCAACCCTTTTGTGTCCGTTCTTTCATTGTGGCTGTTAAATGAATTGAGCTCTGTTCGGACCTAGTTTAATAATACATCTGATAACTCAGAGGTGGGTTACACATGGCCGACCTACTCAGTCTAAAGTCCTAGATGAGTTCCATCTCCTTATCAAAATACAAGCATAGAATGAGTACATTCCTTTTCAACCTACAGTAGGTTAGTGGACGGCAACTGTGGAACAGAATAGGAAAAAACAAGCTCTAAGACATGTTCATAAGCACAGGAAAAGGGAAAAAAAAGCTTTTACATATAAATATACAAATACACTTTTAAATATACAGCAAAACACCGTAAAATAGCAACAGTAAAAGACTGTAAAATTAATATGCA